CATGGAGAAGGAGGAGTGAGAGGAGGACGGAGACGTGGAGGAGGAGCGGGAGGAGGATGAACATGTGGAGGAGCAGGAAGGGAGCGAAGACATGGACGAGGACTGCGACTTCGAGGGAGAGGAGCGGGAGCAAGACGAAGCCGTGGAGGAGCGGGAGGAGAGGGAACACGTGGAGGAGGAGCGGAAGGAAACGAAGACGTGAAGGAAGAGAAGGAGCGGGAGCTAGATGAAGACGTGGAGGATGAGCGGGAAGGGGACGAAGACGAAGACGTGGAGGAGGAGGAGCGTGAGGAGCACGAAGACGTAGAGAAGGAACAGGCAGGAGGAAAACGGAGGAGGAGGATGACGAAGACCATGACAGTGAAAGGACGAGGAGGAGGAGAGGGAGGACGGAGTCGATGAGAGAGAGAGAGAGAGAGAGAGAGAGAGAGACTGACCTGCTTGGCTGCTCCGTGCTGTGCTCCTCGCTCTGCCTTTGCCTCGCCCGCTGTTAGCCCTGTTGTGCTTTCTCCACGTCTGCTCCTTTCGTGCTCGGCTTGTTGCCCTGCTTCTTGCTCCCTCGATGGTGGCAGTAGCGCGTGTGCATGCCTCCAAATGTCGTAGCGGGAGAGGCGGCGGTCGAAACCATCGATGTGGACTTCGAATTCGAAGCCCGCTTGCACTACCAGGCCGCCAAAACACCAAAACCCCTTTCAAACGGCCAGAAAAAAAAAATGGAACTCAAGCATTGACAAACAAATGAAAAAAATCCCGGCCCTACCGGATACAGCATGAAGGCCTACAAAAAATGGGCCCATATTTTTGGTTGGCGGCCCAGGCCTTAACGAAACGCCCTGGGCCGCCAAATTTTTTTTTTGGCGTTGCCCTACCTGTCGGAAATCCGGACAGGGATCCGGACCATTGAACCGGACACCGAACAGCGGACGGTCCGTATCCCTGTCCGGTAGTCCGGATCGCTGCCATGCTTTTTTTCTTCTGTTTTTTGTAGACTTCAGAACAAAGGGCCGAATCTCAACAGATTGTGACTCTACTGCTTACAACACCCCTTTCCCTGACAGTTTTCGACCCTTTCTCGATTCATGCAAGCCATCCTTGCACAGGGGGCATGCTAATCTTCTCTGTATTGTGCCAATTTTAACGGATGTGATGAAGTACCATGGTCCTTCTTGGTTGTGTGAAATGGCATCTAAGTCAAAGTTGATGTCAGCTGTGTTTCGCGAAATTCGCGTCACCATGCATTATTGAATGCAGTGAAATGGTATCTGATGGTATCTGACCGTTATTGCAGAAATGATTCATCTTGGTTGTGCGAAATGGCATCTGAACCTTTGTGGTCCTGGCTTCCATTCTATCCTGGGAGCAGCAGTCCTGTTCGTAATCCCACTGGCAAGTTCGGACGCAGTACATAATATACCCACTCCACGCTTCCCCATATTACAGCCAGACGGAACTGTCAATGGCGTCAAGGGCATTTTGATACTCCCACTAATCGGGAGGGTTGGCTGTTTCCCCCCCCCCCCCCCCCCCCCCCGCGGGCCGCCCCCCGGAAGGCCGAAACAAGAAAGGCCGGCTTTTTCCCCCCCCCCCCCCCCCCCTTAATAAAAGGGCGATGGCCTTGGGATATCATCGTAGAGCTGACTGGCCCAGGTAATTTAGAATTTCATTCAACAGTTTTTCAACTACTGTCTTCACCCGAATAGAGCGCCAGGTCATTATACCTGTATTTGACACAAGTATCACCATGGTCCTCACAGTGTTCGCACTTGTTTTCTTTTTCAGTTGGTTTCGGTTGATTTAAGAAGTGGTTGGCTTTTCTTTGTTTGTGCAGATTATGATTGGCATCCTCTTCTTTCTGTTTGAATTCTTCGACGATCAGTTGCTCGCCTTCATGGTCCTCACACTTGTTTGGCTCTGTGAGCTATTTACTATGATCAGGTAGGCTTCTACCCAACAAAAGCTGTTACAATCATTAATAATAATATACTTAAATAAAGTGACATGCATAAATCGAGAAATGGTCCCAAAAAAACAAAAGAATAAATGAAGAGACCACTCCAAGACACCAGACTATTTCTCGTGGACTGGCTTAACTCCCATCGTAAAGACCAGAAAAAATATGAAGATAAACCAACAATATAGAATGGAGAAACTTTCACACCCAATAACCAGGCGATTATCCGAGTCCTCTCCGAACCATCCGAGATAGTCAACTATCGTACGGCTCTCCAACTCGGCTTACTTCAGATTAGGTAGCACTCGATGCTCTGGTGTGTTCCTATAGTTTATATTGGTGGCCTCGATCATCTGCCCAAAAAATCATCTATGCTTTTTGCACAGGGGTTGCTTTGTTTGTACTTGCAGCCGCACGCGCGTTGCGGTGCGCCATGCGACGCGTGGAGCCTGCCCGTGCGCTGCACCAGCAACAATTTCTGTTTCCTTTTTTTGTGTTGGCCGTTTCCATGGATGCAGAAGGGTGTACAACCTTCAGGAACAAATCCTGTTGAGCATCATAAATGGCCCTGGCTCAGAAATAGGCTCAAATAGGTCTCTTGGACATCAGTCTTGACTCACTCTTGAACGTTAGGTGGCAACATTACTCTCACAACTTTTTTATTTTTATTTTTCATGCTCGTGCGCCGTACGTGCCCAATTGCCCGCACAGCGTGCTTGCATGTATGGATTGTATGCATCACAGATGGTCAGCATCTGCTTTCTCAATATTCTGGACAATCTTTTTTTTTTTGTTCTAAATAAGGGCAACGGCCTTGAGATATTGTCATTGAAATGACCAGCCCCAGGTTATAGAGGAATATTTGAATAATATTTGATTCCATTTACAACAAGTTGCGAAATCGCGAAGTAGTCCAGATTGTCATGCACCAAGATACCATCCAAATACGAGCAATACAATGAACTCGAGTGCCAATGCCGACGCCCACTGGTCACACCGACTGTATCCAATGTCGTTCTGACTGTCGGGCGCCCAGGGCCCAGCCTACACTACACAGCCTATCTATCCTATCTACGCTCATGCGACGGGATCACATCGAAGTTGAAGACCCATGCATGTGACGTCATTACCAATGCCGACCGCCAGCATACACCAGGTACGTTCTCTCTCCTCCCTCATCCCACCTTGAATCCCCTCTGTATGGGCCTCCTACCCGAAGACCGCCATCGCCATTACCCGCACCCGCATGCTCAGCCCGGCTATGGCTGCCGTGCGCCCGCTGCCACTGCAGTGCCCTCACACCTCTCGGCGCCCGCGTGCGCCCTGGCCGGCCAGCGCTATCGCAGCAGCGCCTGGCATTGCAGCAGTGTGGCTGCTATGCCTGCCTAGGCCAGAATGGCCCTGCCTGGGCAGGGCACTTTCCTTTATGGAACGTGCAGCCCTGGCTGGACAAGTTTCCAGTAGCTTCCAGTTTGGCCCCAGTGTCTGCGCCCAGGCCCACTTTTACTGTTTCGGCCCTGGGACCTTTACAGTTGGGCACATCCAGGCAGCCCTCCAGGTGCCAAGTGTTTGCCGCATTCTCATTAGCTTGCGGTGCATGTGTGACGACAATGCCGCTTTCTCATTGGCCCGTGGCCACTACGTGATGTGTCGGCCTCACACTGCGTGTGCCCACGGCGCAACCACCTGAGCCCTGGGCTAAACCGCATGTCGCAGCCGCTTCTTCTGGAAAGAGCCAGGAGAGGCTCACGCTGCTCGGTAACCAACTGGTGTGCTGCAACTGTCTGATACCCACATATGGAAAATTTGGAAGTAGGCCTCTCGTGGATATTCAGGCCCGTCTTCACTTAGGGCGGGCACAATGTTTGCTGGGGGCCACAGCCCAGAACACTTGCATGTCTGTAAGGGCCCCGTTAGGGTTCAAGCCTCACACATTCATCTACGTCCATCAGGATTCGAACTTGGGCCTGTATTTCAACAGTTCGTGAGTGTACAAGCTTGCTAACGACCTTTGTATCGAACCATGGGGCATAAATAGCACGATGCGTCGATGCATGCTAAATAATTACCTTAGTGTATACATGCATGGGTGCCAATTAGAACCGCATCGAGGGCAAAGTCCCAATTGGATGGATTCTTCATTCTGCACCCTAGATCACGAGGATCGACGGCTAGAAACACAGAAACCAATGAAATGCAATGAGGGCGAAGTCCCAGTTGGATGGATTATTCATTCTGGACCTTGGAGCACAAGGATTGATGGCTAGAAATACAGGAACTGTATAAGTGAGGTCCTACTCCCAAAGAGCATGGCAGGCATACCGTTCTTCTTTTGAGCCCTCGGCAGTGCTGGAAAAGGCCTTGCCCGCCCTAAGTGAAGACACGCCTGCCAATATGTGCCAAGGCCTGGGTACAGGCCAGTGTGATCACGCTAAAGGGCCGTTGGAATCTATATGCGGTCCTGAATCTTCACAGTGGCCCTTCTAGGACTCACCCCACATCTCGGGTGAGGCCCCGTACAGACTTGTGTCCGCCCTAGTGAAGGCGTGCCAGAATATTTACGAGAGGCCTATTTTTTGTCAATTCTGCATGTCGGCTATCAGACAGTTGCAGCACACCAGTTGGTTACAGAGTAAGGTGAGCCGTTTTCTTGGCTCATTCCGGAAGCAGCAGCTCGAGAGGCAGTTAAGCCCAGGGCGCATACAGTTGAGGCCCTGGGCGTGAGCCACCAGAGGGCGACACGTTACACGCTGGCCAACAGCCAATGAGATCGCGGCGATCACTTGTTGCCTCGTGGGCTACCTGGGCGTGCCCAACTGTAAAGGGCTCAGGACCTTAACAGTAACGGAGGGCCTGGGTGCAGACACTGGGGCCCAACTGGAAGCTACTGGTAACTCGTCCAGCCAGGCCCAGAACTCGACAAAGCAGAGCTCACTTTCCATAAAGGAAAGTGAGCACAGCAGCCAGGGGGATTCTGGCCATGGGCTTGCCGGCGGCAGGGCTGCTGGTTTGAGTGCTGGAGGGCGCTGGTAGGCCAAGGGCTGGAAGAGGCGCACACGGGCGCGTTGTGGTGTTGGGCGCTGCTTGTGCAGTGGGCGCTGAGCAGCCATAGCTGGGCTTACTCAGCGGTGGCTGATGATGGTGATCGTGGTCCTTGGGTGTAGGCGCGCCATGGGAAGTCAAGGGGTGATGTGAGAGGAGAGAGACACATACCTGGTGTATGCTGGCAGTCTGCATTGGCGACATCGTCACGTACATTATTTAACAACGAAGTGATTCCTTTGCATGAACATAGTGTAGGCTAGTATAGGTGCTGAGTAGATAGGCTGGGCGCTGAGCGCCAATAGAGAAGAGCGACATTGGATACTGTGTTGGTGCGGACAGAGAGTGTCGACATTGACATTTGAGTTCATTGTTGTGCTCTTATTTGGCTGATAACTCAGTGCATTCAACTGCATTGTGCTTTCTGCTTGGTACACGACTATCTGGGCTACAGTGTGATTTTGCAATTTGGAATTCTGTCTATTTCTCTCGCTCATGTTCCTTGCAGTACCCAGCAGGTCGTTGAAATTCTTTTCCAATTTTTTTGTTTATGCGATGCTGAGAATCTGAGTGATGTTTCTTTCGTTTATTGCACTTCTATTTTGGCTTTTTGCAGTGTGCGTACCAGATTGTCTATGCAGTATTTCCCACGGTTCTTCTTCCTCTACTTCATGGTCTTCCACATTTACTTTTTCACATACAGTTATGGTACGTAGACTCCACTCCTGCTGCTGCCACCAAAAGGGTGGCATGTTCGTGTATTGCATTTCCCACTTCCCAAAATCTCGCCTTTCTTTCTTCAGTTTGGTGAAGCTCTGTTACTGTTACGTTGTGCCATCTTGTATCTCTATCTCTAACACTTCCTGCAGCTTTGTTTGCATTTGTGTGATGATGGTTGTTGCTGATTTCCCCTTCTCTTTTTCCCTCAGCAATGCTGTTAGTTTAGAAGTTTGAGGCAACAGAAAGTGGAGGAGGGTAAAACTGCCTCTGTTGTGGATTTGAAATTTTGAATGTTAAAAAAAGGGGGAAAAAAAGTATGTCTTTGTTAAAGCCAAAGACTGCAACTGGTTAAGTATACATCATTCCGCGCGTGATGAGTTAACCCAGCCCTCGTACCCACATGCCGGAAGAATCCATGTGACTCTCTGACAAAAAGAATAAAAAAAGGAAAGAAAGAATGTTGGTGGCAGTGTGGCACAGATTTGGCAGGTTTGCATGTGATGTGGCTGTATGTTGAGAGTTGCTCAGACTTGAGAAATTTCCCAACTGAATCTGGCGGGAATTGCAGTTAGATGCCGCAAGGGAAGTGAAGTCCACCTCCTCATTATTTGGATACTCCTTTGTCATCGTTCTTTTCCTTCAGGAACCGATCCAGCATCATCCTCTTCCAGTTGCTTTTAAGAGTCGTTCCGCTGGGCACTTGCCATGAGACATTGCACAGCATAGCAGGAGATCAATGTTTCGCTCCCAACTCTGTTGCTTTTCCCCTTGTTCTCCAACAAATGAGGGACAGGTCCTATTGCGCTATGTCTATGTTTGTGAGGGACAACTATTGAGCAATGTCTATGAGGCACAGGTCCTACTGAGCTATGTTTACGAAGGACAGGTCCTATTGATATACGTCTGATGTATATGCTACCATGGGCATGCATTCATACGGAGCCTGTGTTGGTACATGTGCAGTGTGTATGCACTGCCCATATAGGTGTTTTTTTTTTTTTTTTCTCTCTCTTTTTTGCCCCGCAACCACATGTATTTGCAGCAAAGCATCCCATATTGCTGCAGCGTATGTTTTGCTGCGGCAAAAGTTCTTTTCACAGCGAAACAGCTGCTGCAGCAGACCATTTGCAGGAGCAAGTAGATTTCACTCTCCGATGCAAAGCATATTTGTTGCCACAGCAGCAGAAGGCAAATGGAACACACACACAGACACACACCCTCACACGTGCAATTTCACGGTTCCTGCCCAAACTTGTTCCCCCAATACATCTACTATGCCTTTTGCAACCCCCCAAAATCCCCCCAACCCGTTTAAGGTACCCTGTGCACAGGGCTACCCCGTCGTCACCCGATTAGAGTGCCCGGTCATTATAGCTGTATTTAGTGAAAATTCCAGTCCGGATACAGTCATTATTACTGGGCGTGCTATTCGGGTGAAGACGGTAGCAGATAATGAAAAGTACGGACGGTCATGCCAGCTGTCACTCTTTAGGGCGAAAAGCGAGCTGTAATGAGGGGTTGGCTTATCAGCAGGAAGGCAAGAGTATGATCGCTAATGCCACAGCTATGACTCTGTTCAGGTGCTTTGACCCTACGGCTGGTATGGGGGTTGGCTTTAGCATCCAATTCTGACTGTTGCTGCAAAGCCCGGGACCGGGACATAGTAAAAAGTGTGCCCTGCCCCAAATGGCTAGGTCCCAATGGTACTCTGTGTTCATGAATCATGAGCTTGGCCGTTTCGAGGATGGTATCAAAGCCTGAAAAATGTTTCGAAGCAGCAATATGAACTCCGTCTTCTATGTCTCTGTTGTAATCATGATTCGTATGTGCTGCAAAGCCCGGGACCAGGACACAGTAAAAAACGTGCCCCGGCCCCAATGGCTAGGTCCCACTGGTACTGTGTGTTCATGAAGCATGAGCTTGGCCGTTTCGAGGATGGTATCAAAACCTGAAAAATGTTTCGAAGCAGCAATATGAACTCCGTCTTCTATGTCTTTGTGGTAATCATGATTCGTATGTCCTAATGTACTGCAACTCATGCAGTATGTTTTTCAATGTGCATGCATGTTTACATTGTTTAGTAGTTAAAAGAAGAAATAAGTAGTTGCGTACTCATTCATGCTCCTCTGCATGGTATGCACGTTGTTCGGCAATGCATGTCCCTAGTAATCG